GATAACAACTTGGGAAGCAACCTGTTAAGTGAATATATTATGGTTTATGATTGAATATTATAGCTTCCTCTTTCTCTTTTCATTTCACTTACATTTGTCATTCAATAACACGTCTTAATCTCATAACTTGGTAAGCAAATGGTCACAATATAAACTTAATTAAACTTTATATATTCTCATTACATTCCTGAACCATTTCACTCAAAACAGTAAGTGAAATGTCATTTTCATTTTTGGTCCCATGTACACAAAAACCAGACACACCCATGCCATTTTCATTTTCTCAGATGCAACAACAAAACAAAACAAACATTGACATTAAATCCTTCATCTTCACAATCCCATATACAAAAAAAACAACCACACCCAAGTCATGATTAATGTGGCAATTGCAACTTTGTACTTCAACTCCCACTTTCTTACTTTACTTCATCTTCTCTCTCGCTGGCTCTCACCTCAGCCTCTTGAAATAACCTTTGACTCTTGTTGCGTCTTTAAAGCATCAAATTTTTATCATACAATTTATTTATATCATCAAGCCGTTGCCTTATCACAGCATTCACCCTTTCCCCAAACTGTCCGTCGTGCTAGGCAAAGAACCCACAACCACCATCCTATCAAATGTCATGTTCACCATTTAGTCACCCGATAAGCATAAACTCTGTCACATGCATCACATTCTTACCTGGTAATAGTTTTGATACCCATAAAATCTCCTTCCTGGGTTGCCTTCTGTCCACGACGTCCAATGAGGAGCCACCATTTGGTGGTGACAATACCTCAGATGACCTTTGTATTGGTCCTCGTGACTAGGTGCTCTTATCATCCACACCCTTCTTCTCGTTCTTCCTGTCGTCGAGTAAGACAAAGATGCCATCTCCTTCCTTTCCTCAAGTATGCTCTCTCTACTCAACTTAGATCCCTTTCTCCATCGCACTTGACACACCTTCGACCTTAATAAATTTGATTGCAGGAGGTGGGTCGATGCTTTAATAGAGGGCAAACCAGACTTGCCTCTCTGCTATAATGGCATCGTGCCACATGAAGATCACTCTTCCTTACCTGCCACCTCACGGAATGTCTAGTTGCCAAATATTCAAGGTAGATAATCCACGTAGGCTAAAACTAAACGAACGTTAGCCTAAACTAACAGGGGTAGCAATTTTGGGCTTCTTTTGGAATATCATAGGCAATTTTGGGCCCAACTTTTTAATATGGTGCTTGGTGCTCCTTTTGAATATTACAATAGGTAAATTTGCCCCTTCACCCTATATTTTTGTAAAAATTTCTGATTTGTGATTTAGTAATTTTTAGTTTCGATATTCATTTTATATAAAGTATGATAGAGCAAGGTTAAGAAGGGAACTCAAAGAAGTTATCAAATGAAAATTATTAATATATAACATATCTTAATAATTATCTAGCAAAAAATATCTTAAATAATTAGTTACTTGAAATTTAAGTCAGGCTAAAACTTAGCCCTCATGATTTTGATTAGAATTCCTAAGTTTTGAAGACGACAAAATTTCGAAGATGAGTTTTGTTGTATAACTACTGATAAGTGGCAAATGGAGAAGAGAAAAAAAAAACCAAAAATGAACAAATGGCAGCCACTTCAAGATTCCTAGTTTAGGACATTTACCATCTTTCACTTATAAAAAGTTTAAGAGCTTTAATTTGATTTAAACTTGATTTGAAACTAAGAATTTTGGCTTGATGGAGTGAAGGGGAGGGAGGGATTTTAATGAAGGGAATGGGAGGGGAGAAAAGGAAAGGATAGCTAGAGAGGGGAGGGCATGAAAGGAAAGGGAGGGAAGGGATTTTCATAAAAAGGAAGGGAAAGGAGGGATTTTGATGATACCTTATTTGGTTTAGAAGGGAAGGGGAAGGGAACTAATAAAAATTAACTATTTTAACCTTATAAATTTAAAATAAATTTTTTCACTTTTCTATTCTGTCAAGATATAAATATGTATAATGCAGTTTATCAAATTTAATAAAAATTATTAAAATTGCATAAAAATTAAAATTACAAATTATATACCAGTTTTCTTCAAAATAACAATAATTATAATATTTTTAATTGAACCAAACTAAAAACAATGTTAAAAAAATATACTGAACATGTCTACCAATATATATTGCAATTAAACATCTACACTTCCAAAATAAAATGATCCATGTGAAAAAAGATACGAACGAATATATCATCCACGTTAAAAAAGAATTCAAATAACAATAACATGATATAAGACTATTCCCAATGAGAACAAGAAAAATATCCAAATGAAACAAATAAAGAAGTTGAATATGGGTGGAAAGCAAAACAAAGATTCAAGAATACTCATAGCTTTGAACACGACGATGTAGATCGACTCAGGCTAACAACCGCTTGTTATTCAAGAAAAATTGACCTACAAAGTGGGACCAAAATTGTGATATATTAAGGGTAGAAAAAAATTCTATTATCTCATTTAGGTTAATTTTATAATATGAAATTTTATCTCTCGTCTCCTTTCTAAAAAATCTTAATTTTGGAAGGGAGGTTAAGAAGAAAAAAAAGAGAAAAGAACAGCTCCTCCCCTCTTTAAAAAATGGTCAACCAAACAAGAAGAGCGGAGCGAAGCAACCACCCTTTCCCTCTTAAAAAATTTCCAAACCAAACAAAGAAAGGGAATCAACTTCCCACCCTTCTTCAAAAACACCGTACCAAACATAACATTAAGTTTCTTAGATTTGCAGCGTTCCAATCCAAAGGGACATGTACTTTAACCAAACGGACTTTTATTTTGTTTTCAATTTTTTTGGGTATTGGTTGATACGTAAAGCGTGATGTGCATGAATGCTTTTCATGACAAGCATAAGTTGATACCCTAGTTAATACTACTTTCCGTTTTTAATATAAAAGCTAGATGATTACTTTTTAAATATCAAAAAAATTATTTTAAATTAGTTATTTGTAATAAATAGATATTATCTTTTCTCAAATACTCTTATTAATTATATACATTAGAATGATAACCCTTTAACATATTTAATTAACATGGAGACTACTTTAAGAATAAAATAAATAAATATAAAAAATAAAATAAAATAAGATATTATATTTACAATCGAATTGAATCTCCAACTAATTTTTATATTTAGATAGTATTGTAACACGTAAAATTTATGTGACATATCCAACGATATGATGCCTGATAGGAAGTCATTATCGGAATAATGAAGGTTCAAAACCGAATATAATGACTTCAATATCCCGGTCAAAGGAAAAAAAATGACTTCAATATCCGAGTTTTATAGCGGCGACCAAGAAAATGTGCTTAACAATGTTGAACAAGATGGCTTATGGAAACAGAGGCTCTCTCTCGTTTAATCACAATATTAATTCACTAAACTCTAAATCATGAACTCTAAGTGAATTTGGTCTCAGAATTTGGCACTGTTGACTAGTTGGTACTCTTTCCAGTTCAAAATATGAATTTCAAACAATTAAATTACACAACTTAAAAAATTGGTTTGAACCAACAAATATATAAAAAGTACAACTTATTTTACTAAAACATCATGAGATGTTTTATTGAGATAATCCTTAGGGACAATGACAAAAATAAAAATAAAAAAAACTGAAATTTTGTAAATATCAAATAAATAATTTTAATAAAAATTTGTTATCATTTACAAATTCACACTTGTCAATACCAAATAAAGTTGTGTTACCAAACTTAATTTAAAATTTGCAATTTCCAGTTTTTTTTTTTTGTCATTCTCTCTTAATCCTTATTTATAGAAATAATAAGCAAGAGAAAAAATGAATGAAAAATAAAATGAGAGAGAATAAACCTAAAAAAAGAGAAAAACATAATCAATTAGAGATAAAAATAATATACTCCTCCGATCCTTAATATAAGACTCATTTAACTAATTTGATTAGATTAAGGAAGTTAAGTAAGTTAGTTAATTATAAAAAATGTGACATGTTTTTCCTAAAACACCGTAATCATCTTTCTTAATACCCATCCCTCTTCTACACTTGATTATGATTGAGGGAGTATCTATAGAGGTAATTTAGAGAAAATTGATAAATATGAAAATGGATCTTATATTTAGACTAAAATCAACTCACTAATTAGGTCCTATATTAAGAACCAGAGGAGTATCTTTTAAAAAACAAACAAGACCACTTCACAAAAGCCTATTGGTATAATATTAAAAACCAAACCGTACCCAACCAGCCGGATTGCCAAAAACCAATCAACCATCCTTTCGGGCAGTAGGAAAAAACCAGTAGATGGAAAAACAGAGAGATGGTTAACCCAAATCGACCCGATCAAGCTAGGAAAAACCCAGTTAACTCAACTGGTTTAGTGAATTAACCTTGTGTTTTTTTTTTTTAGAGTTGTTTTAATACTAAAAAATTATTAGTTTAGTTATAGATAGGAATATTTTGTTACCGCAGATATATTTTGATATTTAACTAGAATGAATATTTAGTGATTTTAATAACATGATACTATAAAGTCAATTTGTCAATTTGTGCAGAGAATTGTTGGGAAAATTGGAAAGAACATGAATCAAATTCGTGTAATACAACATATAGCATCCAGTAAACATTAGAACCTATTTGGCCAAAATATATGCATATGCTGAATCTATAGCAGAAAACTCATTACTCCTTCCGTTCCTTATTATAAAAAACTTTTGATGCTTATGGCATGTTCCTATATATAAGAGACACTTACAAGTTGTCTCTACTTTTTTGTATTGATTTACTATTTTACCCATATTTATTATCTCCAACTCACACTCTCTCTCCCTCTCACTTTTCTTTCTTTTAATAATTTAATTATTCTCTCTCATGTTCTCTCTCCTTATTAATGAGGGCATTTTTGGAAAAAAAATTATACTTTTTACACATTAATTGTTCTTAACTAATTTTAATTGTTTTTTTTATCAACGTACTTCGGTTATTTGTCTCTTATAATAAGGAACGAAGGGAGTACAACACAAACTAATATCGATTAAGTACCTTGCACAATTCTCAATACTAATAGGCCCAAAAACAATTACGATGCTAGAAAAGACTCTGCAAACCATTATATGTAAATCAGGAAGCAAACTAGCCTACAAAAAACTAGGAATATAGTGCCTCACACTACCAGCTGGCCAGCTGGGTAAGGAGTTAGTTAATGTCTCACAATGCAAAATAAGAAATAAATCTCCCACATAAAATAGGAAGAAAAAAAAACTATCAAACCCCTAAAGTAGAAAATCCTAAAGCTAGTGTAGATACTTAATACTCCAACCTGCATGCGTCATCTATGAGAATCCATATCACATGAGGCGTTAAATTTGACTGCTAGGCCAATTCTCATCATTGAGATCTTATCTTCCTACATCTACGTTGTACCAAACGGGAAAAATTACTTTCTGATTCACTGCTCAAAACATTTCAATATTAGTGAAAGTGGAGAGCTTTAAATCTTTTTGGCAATTAATTTGCACTTCTAATGCAGCAACATTCACTTACAGTAATGGCATTTAATTCATCTTTCTTTGATCCAAAAAGTTCCGTTGGACCATGCATCGGCTGCTTCTCCTGCTTGAAAGCACTATGCCACAGCAAAGCAGAATCCCGGTGTACCATCATGAATCATGTGTGATGTGTGTAGTAGCCTTAACAACATTGTCATCTGTAAGTTTAAAAGGAGAATCAGTTTCATGGCCAACGAACTTAAATAGTGTTGAGGCACAAACAATTAAAGCAGAATGTAATGAACTTACTTCAATTTCAACTTCACAGCTGGCGAGTTAGTGGCCTGTGAGGCTTTGGAGCTGAGGAGAAATAAATATGAATCATGAATAGGCCTCAAGAGAGGGAAAAAATACTAGTTCCCATTTCCCTGTGCAGGTCCAACCCATAATCAAAATTCTCAAGTCTCAACCTAAATTTGAAGCCTTTTTTAGCAGCATAAATTATTCTACCAAATAGCCTCAATCACTGTGCACTAAAACTGGGATTCAGCATGTTTTTTCTGATCGCATGGAAATCACGAAAGCAAATTAACAGGTACATGAATAAATAAAAAAACAGTAGAGCAACAGTACTTATTCTGCTTTTTAAGGATATTGATTTATGAACCAGCTTCTACAACCTATGGAATTAAAACTTGCGTATGATGAGCTTTGACTCGGTGTTTATCTTAATCATCTTTGTGGTTGAAAGATTCAAGTTTGTATAGTAGCCAGAGTTAAGTTTAAATCAAAGATAAAAAAGGAAGACAAGAAAAATATCCAGCACGTTGGCTGCACTTTGTTGTGCCCCCAGTAAATGCTTGTAAATGCATCACAGTAAACAGCCCAAGGCTAGCCTGTGCTACACTGCTACTCATGTTCCTTGTACATCTACTGGTAGTAAATTAAGTACAAATAGATGTTGCAGCTTGTTCGAGGCCATCATCAAAATGGCATAATTTAATAGGCACGGAGAACCGCCAGTTACTTCTGCCAACCTTCAAGGCAAGATGCACCATTTATTTTGGCATGAGATGCCCTTGCTCTGCTAATTGGCTTTCACGTTCACAACCAAAATTTGTCAAACAACATATACAAAACACATACTAATGAAACAAGAGAACAATAAAGCAAACCTGAAGCTTTAAGGATGCACCTAGTGAACAAAACTTAGATGTCAAGCCATCTTTATGCAGACTGTCTAATGTGGATTAAAAGTATAGCTATATAGATGAGTAAGATCGAGCACAAATAGATGTTGCGACTTGTTCGAGGCCATTATCAAAACAGTAGAAAACCAATTTGATAGGCACGGAGAATCACTAGCTACTTTGGCCAACCTTCAAGGAAAGATGCACCATTTAATTTTGCAATAGATGCTCTTACTCTGCTAATTGGCTTTCACATTCACAACCAAAACTTGTCAAACAAAACATTAAAAACACTAATGAACCAGGAGAACATTAAAGCAAACCTTGGAGCCTTAAGGATGCACCTAGTAAAAAAAACTCAGATATCATACCATCTTTGTGCAGACTGTCCATGTAAATTAAAAATATAGCCATATAAATCAGTAAGATCAAGCATAAATACATGTGGCAATTTGGTCGAAGCATTATCAAAACAGTCTAAAATCAATTTGATAGGCACGGAGAATCACTAGTCTTATTTTTGCCAACGTTCAAGGCAGGATGCACCATTTAATTTTGCAATAGATGCTCTTGCTCTGCTAATTGGCTTTAACATTCACAACCAAAACTTGCCAAACACTAACAACAGACAAACACATATTAACGAACCAAAAGAACAATTAAGCAAACCCAAAGCCTTAAGGATGCACCTAGTAGACAAAAGTCAGATATACCATCTTTATGCAGACTATCTATGTGGATTAAAAGTATAGCAATATATGAGTAAGATTAAGCACAAAAAGTTGTTGCAACTTGTTCGAGGCCATCATCAAAACAGCATAAAATCAATTTGATAGGCACGGAGAATTGCTAGCTATTTTGGCCAACCTTCAAGGCAAGATGCACCATTTCTTTTTGCAATAGATGCTCTTGCTCTGCTAATTGGCTTTCAAATTCACAACCAAATACTTGTCATACAACAAACACGTGCTAAAGAACCAGAAGAACAATGGAGCAAACCTAATGTCTCAAGGATGCACTGACCGAGATCTTACCAACTTTAAATGAAAAATAAAGCCATGTATATCACCAAGGAAAGATTTGGGTAGTTTATTTACTTTATTATGCCACTGGTATATGTCTGTCAATGCATCACTGCGAAACAGCCAATAGTTAAACAGTTCTACTGACCAAGGAAAGATTTGGGTAGTTTATTTACTTTATTATGCCACTGGTGTATGTCTGTCAATGTATCACTGCGAAACAGCCAATAGTTAAACAGTTCTACTCATTTTCCTTGTGCATTTACTGGAAGCCAGATCAAATACACGTAGATGTTGTGACTTCTTCGAAGCCATCATCATTAGAATATCAAATTTAATTTGATAGGCATGGAGAACTGCCAGTCGAATTATCTTTGCCAGCCTTCAAGGTAAGATGCACCATTTATTTTGCAACACATACTCTGGTTTCGCTAATTGACTTTCACATTCACAATTAAACACTTGTCAAACAAACCACATATGCCAATGAACCAGAAGAACAATAAAAATGATGTCTTAAGTACCAACACACAGCACTTTTGAAAGTGTGGAGTAGCACCTCCCAAATACTATAAATTGCAGTAATTTACAGCAACTTGCCATTTTAATGCCCGGGGGGGGGGGGGATATAAAAAGGGAACTTACCATTTGGATTTCCTTGTTCATAAAATGTCCGCAGAAGGAGGACTGCTTCTGATGCCATTATGCCCCCTGTACATTTGAAACCATTTCCTGGTTTTACTTCACTGCCAAATAAGAGAAAACATATGAACCATCAATGATAATATATATATATATATATATATATATACATAGTTTGTATTGGTTTAAAAAGGGTAAATAAAAATTATTTAGGGACACCTTCATAACAAATATTTCCCTTCAATGCAAACCGTGAGAAGCGTACCCTTCAAGATTCAAGACAGATGTGCTTCAATAGATAAACCCACCAGTTACAAAAGACATTATGTACTTGCTTTGAGGATTTATAATATGAACTTGCAGACGAATGCCAAAAAGATCACCTTAAAAAAGCCCACCAAATATTCTCACTAACGTCCATGCCATACAACAACTATACTTATGCACAAAGCAAGCGAGTCTGATGAACACTGCTCAGTCACTCGTATAATCATTTAGAAATAGAGGTATTGATTAACAGTTTCATCTTTTTTTGCAGTTCAGCACCTTAGATTTTTCATCGGAAGCCAAGTATAATATTGTTAGAGCAGAAATAGACAGACTGCAAAAGAACATGAGATGTAACTATATTAGGATAAGATAACTAACAATTAAATAAGCAAAACAATAAATAAAGATTCACAAACAACAAAAATGGCTTCCACTTGAGAAAACCTAGTATAACTGACACTTAAATACAATATTTGATAGACGCTGCTGGCCAGAGAGACATACTTATTTATATTGTTGCCTAAATGTAACGACAATATTGATCCACATCCTCCAAATTTATCATTTGCACATCCATAATATACCTCCTTTATACCTGCGGAATAAATATAGCAACAAATGGATAAAAATAGTGTCAAATAACTTAAACAATGTGACAGTTATGAATAGAATAATTGAAGTAGCATACCTAGAATTGATAAAGCTGACGCACACATTATGCACGGTTCACATGTAACATAAAGGCTGCAGCTTGAGAATTTTCCAGCAACTTCAGAGGTTGAAAGTCCATTTTTCTGCCACTGTTCCAGAAGATCATCTATAGCTTCCATTTCTGCATGCCTATTAGCCTGTCAAGAGTGAATTTGCAAAATGGAAAATATGGGAGTGAAAACCAGTGGAAAACAGAAAGTTATTGCATCAATTAAAAAAAGAAAAAATGCAACAATGGAAAGTACACAGTGGTTGTTACTTCAAACTAGTAACAAGAAAAATTTCTTATTTTTCATTACACGTTTGGTAAAATAACAAGAGTTTGATTAGACTAAGTCAAAACCTTTTCTTTCAGGAGGAAAAATCAACATGAAATTGCTATTAAATGTGAGAACAATTAGCTTTGACTCAGAGGTATTAGGCTTAGTTAAAATGAATACTAAAATGCCATAAGCTCAGTCAACTACACCTAAGCCTATAATAATGGGCCAGCCGAGTGACTCAATATATGATTAATTCACTCATACATATTATTCCATATGAAAGGGTACAATTTATAGAGTCCGGATGGTGAGAACAATCCGGTTATAATCAATCAAAATTCAATTACAATTATTCAGAGATACAGCAGCACATAATCAGGGATTTATTCCTAGCTAGAATCATGGGTGATGACCGAAGAGCATCATGGGCTTTCCAACACTCCCCCTCAAGCTAGAGAGTAGATGTCAACTATTCCCAGCTTGCCTTGAAACCCTTCAAACTTGACCCTGGCTAAAGGTGTGGTCATAATGTCAGCAATCTGATCAGTTGAGCACACATAGTTCAAGTTAATGATACCACCTTCTGCCTTTTCTTTGATAAAGTGCCAATCAATATTGACATGCTTTGTTCGGTCATGATACACTGGATTCTTTGTCATTTCAATACAGGCTTGGTTGTCACACCAGAGGTTCACTGGACCTTTATAGGGGATTCTCAATTCCTTTAGGAGTCTAATCACCCACATTCCTTCACATACACCCAGAGCTACAGCTCTTAGCTCAACTTCAGCACTGCTCCTTGAGACTACGGTTTGTTTCTTACTTCGCCAAGTGACAAGGTTTCCCTAAACGTAAGTGCAATAACCCGTAACAGACCTCCTGTTATCCACAGCTCTCCCATGATCTGCATTGGTGTAGACCTCTATGTTTCTAGTATTCCCCCTTTTAAAGAATATTCCTCTTCCAAGATTGTGTTTGAGGTAGGTCAGGATTTTATACACTACTTCCATATGTTCTTCCTTAGGATGGTGCATAAATTGGCTTACCACCCCAACTGCATAGCTAATATCAGGTCGTGCATGGGTCAAGTAGATCAGTTTACCCACAAGTCTTCTGTACCTCTCTGAGTCAACTGGGACCCCTTTTGGTTTAACTTCCAGATTGCATGACTCTTCCATAGGTGTTTCATTTAGTTTAGCGCCAAGTATTCCTGTTTCATGGAGTAAATTAAAGGTGTATTTCTGTTGGGACACACTTATACCCTTCTTGGATCTAGCAACCTCCAATCTGAGAAAATACTTCATTTGACCTAGGTCCTTCACTTAGAATTCCCTAGCCAGGGCTTTCTTGAGTTGAGAGATAGAAGCTTCATCATTACCAGTTATGACTATATCATCCACATACAAAATTAGGATCGTTACCCTTCCATCATAGTGTTTGACGAAAAGGGTGTGATCAGTTTGCCCTTGGTTGTGCCCAAACCTTTTGATTGCTTTGGCAAACCTATCAAACCACGCTCGTGAAGACTATTTCAGGCCATATAGTGATTTCTTCAGCTTGCAAACCGAATTAGGTGGAGGCGGAGCTATTACTCCATCTGGGACTTCCATGTATTCTTCCTCCTCTAAATCTCCATTTAGAAAGGCATTCTTTACAACCAGTTGATATAGGGACCGTCAAGGTTAGCAGCTAGAGACAGGAGTACCTGAATGGTATTGAACTTTGCCACTGGTGCAAACATTTCTTGATAATCAATCCCATAAGTTTGAGTGTATCCTTTTGCAACTAATCTCCCTTTGTAATTGTTGATGCTTCCATCAGGATTGAATTTAGGGGTGAAGATCCACCTGTAACCCACTGCTTTCTTGCCCTTAGGGAGTGTGGTGATATCCCACGTGTTATTCTCCTTCAAGGCTTTCAATTCTTCGTATGCTGCATGTTTCCAATTAGGATCTTTCATAGCCTATTGAAATGTTTCTAGAATTTTCACCTGTGAGATATTCACCATAAAGGTTTGCATTCTAGCAGATAAATTGCCATAAGAGACAAATCTTTGAATAGGATGTTGAGTACAAGACCTTACCCCCTTTCTAAGTGCAATAGGCCATCCTAGCTCTTTAGATCCAACTCTGGATTGGAATCATGTTGCTGCCTTGGAATGGAAGGAACTCCACTACTATTGTCTTATTCACTTGATTGAGACCTTGAGTGCTCTGTCACCCCCACATCAATCTCAGCATTTGTTTCCATTGTGTGAGGATTGTTTATGGGGCTTTTAGGCTGTTCTGGTGGAGGTGACCCCCGGTTCTGGTTCAGGGATTCCTTCTTGTGGTACAAAGGGTTCAGGATGGTTCAGAGGTGAGTTGATACTAGGTTTAAGTGTAATTAGCCATTCTACTCCATAGGTCTCCCCCTGAATGGGTAATTTAAGATAGTATGCATCATACTCATAAAAGACTGTGTCTTTGGAGACTATGAGTTTCCTAGTAGAGGGACAATAACACTTATAACATTTGTGGGTTGAAGAATACCCGAGGAAAATGCATTTTTCCGTTCTAGCACCTAGTTTTCTCCCATCATGTTTATGGACAAAGACAACGCACCCAAAGACTTTTTGTGGGATGGTATTGATTATAGGTGAGGTGGGGTAGGTCTCAAGAAGTTTTTGGATAGGGATACTAAAATTAAGGATTTTGGAGGCCATTCAGTTGATAAGATAGGCAACGGTTAGCACAGCATCTCCCTAAAACAAACTTGGGACATTTCTTTCCATCATAATGGCTCGGGTTACTTCCAAATGATGCCTATTCTTCCGCTCGGCAACTCCATTTTGTTGAGGAGTATAGACATAGGAGGTTTGGTGATGGATTCCCTGTTGCTCAAAAAATTTCCTAAAAGCTCCACTCACATACTCTTTCACATTGTCACTTCTCAGTACTTTGATAGGAGTTTGGAATTGAGTTCTCACAAAGGAGTAAAAGTTTTTGAAAATTTGTAATGCTTCGGATTTCTCTTTCATAAGGTAAACCCACATAACCCGGGTATGATCATCTATGAATGTAATAAACCACCTTGTACCTATTCGGTTTTTGGTTTTGGCTGGTCCCCACATGTCGGCATGGATTATTGTAAACAGAGTGGTTGGTTTGTAAATATGTTTGGGATTAGAGGCGCGAGTTTGTTTGGCAATTTGACAAGTTTCACATTGAAAAAAAGGAGAATTTTTATTGAATAAAGTTGGAAACACATGCTTCATAGAATCAACGTTGGGGTGGCCTAATCTTTGATGCCACAACATTACATTTTCATTTTGAGAATTAGAGCTAACCATAGCTTTCCTTGCTCTTTTAGTCTTCATATCCTTTCCTTCCAAGTAGTAGAGTCCATCCCATTCTTTAGCAGTCAAAATCTTCCTCCCTAAGGTCAAATCCTGAAAAACACAATTAACATCATCAAAGATCACCCGACATACTTGTCCTTTAGTCAATTTGCTCACAGATATAAGATTGCAAGTGAGAGCAGGAACAAACAAAACATTATGAATTTCCAGATCATGAGAAAGAGCCACAGTGCCAACACCTTCAACTTTAATATATAGTCCAGTTGCTACTTTTGCTCTCAGGTTCTCATGGCAATATTTGAGGGTTTTGAAGATGGACTTGTTACCAGTCATGTGGTCTGTAGCACCAAAGTCAACAATCAATGTCTCATCACTAGTGACCATTGCATTAAGCGCCATAATGGAATTACCTGATTGAATCGAGTTTACATTGGGAACCGATTTTGATGTGTTTTGCTTTTCAAGCATCTTACGAAGCATTTGAAGTTCTTCTCTGGTCAAGCAGTCTCCATCATCACCTTTTTCCTTAGAAGAGGTGTTGTGACTCTTTCCTTCTTGCCGTTGTTTCTGTTTCCCTTAGGTTGGTTTTCCATTTAGTTTCCAGCATTCATCTCTGGTGTGTCCTTTCTTATTACAGTGATTTTGAGAGTTTGTGTGCAGAAAAGCTGTATTTTATTCCACAGATTTGTGCGATACATATAGGGAGAGGAGTGATTCAGCATATCGCATGAAATCCTCCAGATTTAATAAGGAAGCAAAACAGGAAATAAATATATTCTGTAATCCCTAATTTAGCGCCTAAGGATCAGGTCTTTAACGGTTAGTAAATCAGTATACATAGCTGTAATGATTCTTGGTTTAATAGGATGATTGGGCCTCTCCCTAGGGCCCATTTCCGACACTCCCCCTCAAGTTGGAGAATAGATGTTAATCATTCCCAGCTTGCTAGTCAACTCGTCAAACTTGTTCTTGATCAATGGTTTGGTCATCACATCCGCAATCTGTCTTCCAGAGGGAATGTAGGTTAGGTCGATCACTTTAGCTTCAATCTTTTCCTTGATGAAATGACGATCAATTTCAACATGTTTTGTTCGGTCATGTTGGACAGGATTGTTTGCAATCTTGAGTGCAGCCATATTATCACACCACATTTTAATTGGTGCATTTATTTCTATACCAAGGTCCCTTAGCACGTGTACTACCCATATCCCTTCACAAATGCCAAGAGCCAGAGCTCTATATTCAGATTCAGCTGAGCTTCTTGATACAACTGGTTGCTTCTTGCTCCTCCAAGTCACAAGATTTCCCCACACAAATGTACAGTATCCAGTAGTAGAACGTCGGTCATAGATAGCTCCTGCCCAATCAGCATCCGTGTAGACTTCTATATCTTTGTCTCCCTCTATGCTGGAGTTTCTTTTTGTACCATCTGTATAGATTTCTACATTTTTCTGTCCACTTTTAGCAAAATACAGACCTTTACCTGGAGTAGTTTTAAGGTACCTGAGAATTCTTTGTACTGCTTCCATGTGTT